AGTGGCGGGTCTCAGGGTCTGCTGCATGTAATATTAATTTGTTTGTAGTCACGTGGGTCTCAGGGTCTGCTGCGTGTAATATGAATTTGTTTGTAGTCACGGGTCTCAGGGTTTGCTGCGTGTAATATTGATTTGTTTGTAGTCACGGGTCTCAGGGTCTGCTGCGTGTAATATTAATTTGTTTGTAGTCACGGGTCTCAGGGTCTGCTGCGTGTAATATTAATTTGTTTGTAGTCACGGGTCTCAGGGTTTGCTGCGTGTAATATTAATTTGTTTGTAGTCACGGGTCTCAGGGTCTGCTGCATGTAATATTAATTTGTTTGTAGTCACGTGGGTCTCAGGGTCTGCTGCGTGTAATATTAATTTGTTTGTAGTCACGGGTCTCAGGGTCTGCTGCGTGTAATATTAATTTGTTAGTAGTCACGTGGGTCTCAGGGTCTGCTGCGTGTAATATTAATTTGTTTGTAGTCACGGGTCTCAGGGTCTGCTGCGTGTAATATTAATTTGTTAGTAGTCACCCGGGTCTCAGGGTCTGCTGCGTGTAATATTAATTTGTTTGTAGTCACGCGGGCCTCAGGGTTTGCTGCGTGCAATATTAATTTGCGGGAAATGTTTCAACGTTTGGATGTTCGGCCAATGCCGGTTCCACTGTACGGTTTATTAGCGGTTGGAGGAAACTGGAGATCCTGGAGGAAGCCCGTGCAGAACACGGGGTGAACATATAAACGCCACGCAGAAAAGTGACCACTAACCGCCACGCTCACTACTTCAGAACCGCTTGTTGTGTTTAGTTCGTTGTCCTTCCCCCGCACCTCCCGATTTTAGCACGGTTGGCTACGTACGGCGTGAAAGAAGTTCGACATGCACACCCATTAGATCCTCCCTCCTTTAACATCTTTGTGCTGTGTATCGACCACCGGTGCTCCTTAGATGGTGAGCCAGTGGACGGCTTCACAAGTCGCCTGGAGAATATCTGAATCCCACAGCGAATGATCGACGTGGCAAGCAGTGGTTCATATACTTTATACGAGAATTTGGCTTTTGTAAATTTCCACGTAAGCCACTTCATTGATCCTTCATTTGTGGCCAGATCGGTACTGAAAGAGAGGTATATAGCTCAGTGGACCTTGCCTGGTAAACCGAAAATATAACATTTTTGAAATAGTTCCTCTACGTGGTCCACGGTTGGAGTTTGCTGACCGAAGACGCGCTGTGCGCTAGGGCCTGTCGGTGTCGTCGCTAGCTGCACCTGCCTCGACGTGGACACGCGTGAACTCTGCTGAAAGAAGGTGACCGGCCGCGTCTCTTGATTCCCGTGTTGTGTGACCCTTCCACCCTTCCACCCTGCCACCACCCCCCCCTCTTCCTCACAGAGCGGCCAGCAGTGGCACCCTATCCAGGAGTTGCTGGCGCTGGAACAAGATGGCCTGGAGCTCGCCGACGTGAACCGCATTCTGGAGCTGCTCACGGAGAAGAAGATGCGGCTGGAAGCGGTGAGTTGTTGGCCCCCTGGAGGAATGCTGGTGGCGTTTGCACAGGTTTGGCCACCGGCGGCAACGGGAACGCGGCACGGTGGCATTTGCGATGGTGTGGTGTCGGGGAGGAATGTGGTGCCGGAGAGGTCGGTTGTTGTCAGGCGGTGCGACATCGCTGCGATAATTCCGCAGCGATAGGGCGCCGGTATAGTTCCGTTCCGCAGAGGCGTTCGCATGTGCGGCCACAGCTTCTGCCACGAGCTTCCGCTCACGGGGCAATCGCTTGCCTTGCATCCGCACGCTGACGTAAGTTGCTCGCGACAAGTAGCGACGGTGCCCCATGCGCGCACGTGCAAACGCAGCGTGCGATTGCACGGCACCCATATGGACGAAGGGTGATGGAATGTGTGGAATTCTCTCCCACCCTAGGGAGAGAATTCCCTCCCACCCGATGTGTACGAAGGGTGATGGAATGTGTGGAATTCTCTCCCACCCTAGGGAGATAATTCTCTCCCACCCTAGGGAGATAATTCTCTCCCACCCGATGTGTACGAAGGGTGATGGAATGTGTGGAATTCTCTCCCACCCTAGGGAGAGAATTCTCTCCCACCCAGTGTGGACGAAGGGTGATGGAATGTGTGGAATTCTCTCCCACCCTAGGGAGAGAATTCTCTCCCACCCGATGTGGACGAAGGGTGAATGGAATGTGTGGAATTCTCTCCCACCCTAGGGAGAGAATTCTCTCCCACCCGGTGCGGACGAAGGGTGATGGAATGTGTGGAATTCTCTCCCACCCTAGGTAAGAACTGACCAATTCTCGGCAGTCATTTAAATACGTTGTGTTTTGTCTTAACGGTGCATTACGCGTGAATTTGTTAAGTGCTTTGCACAATCTTGATCCCGAAATTGCCTTTGAAATCGAATGTTGTTGTAGTTACGGAGCTGGGCCTATGCATGATTACATAAAGGCGGCAAGTTGGTACAATCCAATTAGGATTTATAAAGCGCCTGTGTGTGACCACATCTAAAGATGCTCTACAAGAGTGGTGGGCATGGATGGCTGGAAGATTCCGCAAATCACCATGATAGAAGGACCCTGTGTTGCAATCTTAATTGTTTAGTCCTACAATGGATAAATATATTTTTTTATCACATTGCGATAGAGTTGAGCAGCATCCAAAGGCACTGCCATCGTGCCTGCGAGTGTAATTCAGAGGTCTAATCTACGCCTAGAGACGCACCATTGTATTTATACACGTAGCGCGGTGTATTGGTTTACGCGCACTGCGCTATGAACCCAGCAACCTGTGTTTCGTTCCCAGTCGTGGCTAACATCGGCGGTGAGCTAATTCTGAACCGTGTCCGGGCTCCATCCCTTCAGCAACCCACACTGACGCAGCATGATGAAATATGGCCAAACAATCCCCGTGACCGGCACAGCGTGGGGAAGCCTTTATTCGTCAGTGTATTAACAAAGGACCCTGCATTATTTTACAACGTCTACGTCTTAAGTGAAGATGCAAAGTATTTTATTTGACCTTGTCATGCGCTTTGCTTTTTTTTTACTTTTCCAGGAGTCTACAGTGGCACAACACCAGCTGCTGATTGAATTCCTGCAGCAGGTTCAGCGCGGCAAGCAGGTGGTGCGTTGTCTCATCTCACCACTCGCCGTTCCACAACATCACAAGCTCCGCCACACTGCGTGGCGTGTTTGGCGTTTCGCACAAACACAGAGTTAATGGAATGTGTATTTCCTCTGAAGCGTTTTTATTGCGATCCTGGTATAAAAGCTGATGAACTGATCGTGGTGGGTTCAATAATTAATTTTTGTACTGACAGCCTTGCAGCCCAAGCCTCTACTGTACACTCCTATCGTGTTCTTTGTTGTAACGTTTTCACCCGCACCCTACTGGACATCTGTGAAAAAGAGCTTAATACCTCATCGGATTCCTCCAGTGTAAACACATATTCTGATTCTGATATGCATATTTAGCAAGCTTAACGCCACTTAGCTTCTAAGATCTCGATAACATTCGATGCATTCAAAATGCTTTGGTCAAAGGCGGTGTTAATAATGGAGGTACGTTTTTTTATCTCCATATATATTTGTGCTGTACTACCAACAGTACTTTTTAAAAAATGTCTTTGCATTTATAGTTTCGAGACTGTCCCCCCCCCGCACCTTGTGGCCATGAGAGGTGTTCTCATTGACTACCACTCACGTTTGTAGTGGGTTCAATTGAGGCGCACACTCAACTTGGAGGCAACACTATCTATTAACGCATAACAACCAACGTGAACATTAAGTACAGGGTGGTGACCACCGTTCCTAATCTCGCTAACACTCGGGGCGAGTACTACACAGCGTGACCAGGGCAGGTGACGGGCTGCCTGGTCACGAACGACGATCGGAGACTCGAGGACCGCTGACGGCGTCTTCGTCCCGGGGTTGAACGGCCCAGCTCTCTGTTCACACCCCCCCCCCCCCCCCCCCCGATTGTAACTGCCGTGGCTCCGCCCCAGGCCACGCCCCCAAGCTTCCCCCCTGGGGCCCCTAGCCCCACCCCCTTTGTCCGGTCACGTGTCCTTGTTGGTTTCACGCAGAGTGTCCACGGGCTGACACGACCTCCGTGACACCCGCCTACAGCACCCATACCGAGCCAACACGGTAGTGACGTCATGTGTCCCTACGCTCGTACGGTCCCTACACAGTAGTGACATCATATGTCCCTACGCTCGTACGGTCCCAACACAGTAGTGACATCATGTGTCCCTACGCTCGTACAGTCCCTACACAGTAGTGACATCATATGTCCCTACGCTCGTACGGTCCCTACACAGTAGTGACATCACATGTCCCTACGCTCGTACAGTCCCTACACAGTAGTGACATCACATGTCCCTACGCTCGTACAGTCCCTACACGGTAGTGACATCACATGTCCCTACGCTCGTACGGTCCCTACACGGTAGTGACATCACATGTCCCTACGCTCGTACAGTCCCTACACGGTAGTGACATCACAAGTCCCTACGCTCGTACAGTCCCAACACGGTAGTGACATCACATGTCGCTACGCTCGTACAGTCCCTACACAGTAGTGACATCACATGTCCCTACGCTCGTACGGTCCCGACAGTAGTGACGTCGTATGTCACGACACATTTATATTGTCCTCTGGTAATCTTTCAGTCATTTGTTTGACAGGCCTGACTGAATAATATTCGCCTGCAAAGCCAGGCGGGCTGGTGGATGAAGTGATATTGGTTTGTGTAGGCACAGAATAGAGTCCTGATTGCATTTGCATTTACCCTGTTGTACGTATTCACTCACCGTATTGTTGATTGTTAAATAAACGCGTGATTGGCATCTGTTACAATATAACGACAACTGCAAAGCATTTATCATTGCGTCTTCTGCACAAATGCGATTGTGGTTACCGGTGCCGCACAAGCAAACCGTTTTCGTGTGATGCAGCCCAAGGCCGATTGTGTTTTTTTTTCTCTCTCCCTCCCTCCCCGCAGCAACTGGATCAGCTGTCGAAGGAGCTGAGCGTCCTGCAGGGCGATATGCGGCACGTCGAGGTGCGGGACTGTACCTCGGACGTGGGCACGGGGTCACGTGTTGCAAATAGGCCCTGAGCGCAAGCCGTCCCACGCTCCGATTTAAAGCTTTCGTGACTGCAAGGATTCATCTTCTTTGGTTCTTTCGGTAAAGTCACCGCCACCACGTAGAATGGGAACAAAATAATAATAAATTAATAGAATAAAATAACGCAATCAAATTCTCACGACGTTTTCGGCCACAGCACAAGCTGCCTTCATCAGGTGAAGGGACGAGACTGTCTGGAGGACAGCGCTGGAGTAGAAACACAACCAAGCTCAGACCGCGACCTTTAAGCTGTGTGAGAGTAATTAAGGTGCCTTGTGAAAGGAATTAGCATAACAATTGTCCTCCAGACAGTCTCGTCCTTTCACCTGATGAAGGCCGCTTGCGTTGTGGCCGAAACGTCGTGAGAATTTTATTGTCTTATTTTATTTTATCAATTTATTATTATTTTGTTCTCATTCTACGTGGTGGTGGTGACTTTACCGAAAGAACCAAAGAAGAAGTTTTCCACACTCGTGTGTAAATGAGCACGAGAGCCCCAGCCTCGCGATAACTAAAGCAAACTTTTTTTTATTTTACTAGGTAAGGCCTACTGAGCTGCATAGCTCTTTTTCGAAAAGCCACCTTGGCCACAAATGATAGCTCAACGAAGTGGGCTATCGTGTGAACACTTATAGCGGCGAAACGCGCGCTTCTAAAACGTGGAAGGAAAAACCGGAGGACCCGGAGGAAAGTCCGCACGGCCGCTGTTGTCCCGGGGAGGGAGACACGCAAACTCCAAATATACGAACGTCATAGGTCGGGATTGAACCCACAGCCTCCTTGTATACTAGGCGAGGTAGTCAACATCTCGCCACGGGTTGCATCTGCAACAACCGCCGATGGTGAACAGGCCTGCCCATGGCTGTGTAGGCGACATTGCAGCTAGGCTGCATCTTGAGTACTTCAAAATGAAACGTGAAAAATTGCAACCACTGCGTTTTTTTTGCAGTGGTTCACCACCAGCACGTGTAATGAAAGCTCAACACGTTTGTCAATGACGGTGGCCCTAGACGTGTGTGTGTGTGTATAAATAATAGGATACGTGTTGGCCACCCACCTCCTCATGTGTCGTGCCGGCCTTCGTAGGCGTTCGCTAACAACAGCGTTTCAGGCTATATGGGGGGATCCTTATTTAATAGGATAGTAGGGAGCGGCAGTGTAGCGGTTAGCGGGCTGTACTACGAACCCGGCGACCCGGATTCGATTCTCGCTCATGGCCGACACCAGTGACGATTATCTGAACCAGTCCTGGGCCTCCCCCTAGGTCGACTCAGCCTCCAAATGAGTACCTGGTGCGGTGCGTGAACATCGCCTCTGGGGAGACAAAGGCGGCTGGGTGTGGTGTTGGCCACGCACCCCCCTCGTGTGTCGTACCGACCTTCGTAGATGCTCGCTAACAGCACTTGTCTCAACAGTCTGTTATAGCCTGTACGGGGGATCTTTGTCTTTATATAATAGGATACATTTTGGGCAGGGGGCTTCTCTGCATTGGTCTCGACGATTAAGAAGGGTGGGCCGTTGTCAGAAGCATTGCTTATCATATATCATTCCTTTCAAGGCAGGGTTTTTGACAGATATTTAAGAGTTTTTGTTACATGCGCGTTATTCGTGCGTCGTGTTAAGTTAATTTGTTTTCATTGAACACATGGGTTTTTGAGGATGCGTGAGAATCTATTCAGCCGTGGTAAATGTGCGATGACCATTTTGTTAGTTTAGAATAGTACGTTTTGCTTTTTATTGCCTTTCTTTTCTCGTGCTGCTTTATTGATATTAATGTGCATGTCCGGTGTCCTGACTTGCGTCATAGCATCGTTAATGGATCATCTTCAGGGTGGTTCGAGTGCCTTCCCTGTTACAGGCGGACTAGAGCGCTTGCGTAAATTATTTTAACTTCGGTTGGAAGGCGTCGCGAACCGAGACGTTGCTTGTAAAGTGTTCCGATGGTGTCGGCGTGGCTTCTACGTCAAATCGTATGTCGGCAAGTTTTTTTTCTTCCCCATGATGCTTAGCCCCTCGATTCAATCCCCCCGCCACCGTAATGTGCACATCTAGGAGCTGATGCAGAAACAGCACGAAGCCGTGGTGCCCCAAGTGCCCCAGTTGCCAGAGACCCCATCGACCAGGTGAACAACAACCGTTGGCTTTGGTGAACCGTGGCCCTGGCATGTCTTAGAATTGGGAGCGCGCGATTGCTTTGGAAAGCCCCAAAAAGACGGTTTAAAATGGGGATCGATGTCTTTCGAAGTGTGGTTCTCGACAACGATAAGAAAACACGTCTTCCGGAAGATCCCTATGGAGTAGTACCGTCTTCCAGAAGGTGACTTATGAACGCACCCCTTTAAATTGCGCAAATACGTCCTGGGGGAAAGGTTATCCTGAACAACCGGTTTAACAAATAAATTAAAATCTTTTTGAAAGACGGCGCATTCTCCGGATGATAAGACGCGCCTGCTCCCGTTCCTTTCCTTTAAATGACATGGGAAAAAGTCCACCTCATAATCCGGATAATATGGCAATGGTCGCAAGAACCTGGGTGTACGAAACCCCGCGCTGGGAAACCAAGCCGTTTTCTCGTGCAGTTAGTTGACGCGGGCGGACTTCTTCTGACGTTGCTGCAACGTTGCGCTTGCGTGCTTTTTTTTTTCCAGCGGTTGTCTGGTGGACTCGGATCACCCCTTCCCTGCATTCACGGACAGCGCTCGGGTGAGCCGGCATGCCAGCGTCTCCCACGTGCGAGATTTACCCGGCACCTGAGCTTCGTTGTAACATCGTGATATGTAACGTACGGCTCTATCGGCTCGTTTTGTCATGTTTACGAGCGGTAAACCCCCCCCCCCCCCCCCCCCAATACGTCGTGGACGTTTTTTGACCACGGCGCATGTCGAAGGCAAGGATTACATGTGTGAGAATAGGTGCACTGTTGTAGCGTAGTGGTTAGCGCCCTGCGCTGCAAACCCGGCCTACCCGAGTTGGATTCCCGCTCACGGCCAACACTCGGTCCCCTCCCCTAGGTCGACTCAGTCTCAGACTAGTACTTGTTTCAGTGCGTAACCATCGCCACTGGGGAGACAAAGGCGGCCGTGCATGGTACTGGCCACCCCCCCCCCCCCCCCCCCCCGTGTGGGGTGGCCCTGCGCTGTGGCCTAGAACACCGGTTGTGCATGGCCGGTCTTCCCGCCCAGGAACTATTCTACTTGGCTTCTCTAAGATCTGACAAGGCCGGGAGTGTCGCCGGCCATTTTGTTCATCGGCTATTGGAACGTTAAATACCCAACGAGGACGACTTCCCCCCTCGCCGCCACCCCCGCCGCCGATGGCGAGCACGTCTCTCTCCTCTCTCTCTCTCCGTGCTGGCTTGCAGGCGAAGCGGTTGCCGTGCCACGGGACTGACTCAATGGCGGCAAGGAGGCGGAAACTGTCGGCGCATTTCGACGGCCTGGAGCGGTGCTACTCCGCCCGCCGCCTGTCGTCGCCCCCGGGTCGGTACATCCCCCCTGCGTGGCGGCCGGCCCCAACGCCGTTCCGCCCGTTGTTGCACCTGGGGAAAGGTGTTACGCCTTTCCGAGGTCCATTATGTATGTTGAACTTCTTGCGCGTTAATCGGAGGTGCTGGGGGGGAAGGACAACGAACAAGAAACGGTGCTGTGGAACAGCGAGTCCTCCTTTGACGCGGTGGATGCGTTCCTTTTAAAAAACGTAAATTGCCGTAATAGAACGCGATGATGAAGTTTGGTGGGATGCAATGTACGCACACACAGACGGCGGGACAAATCACTCGGGGTACGCCGCCACGCTATTGTGTTATTTCGCGTACTGCATTGTACCACCCAGCCACGCGGCTCAGGAAAGTCGCCCATTGTAGATCTCTCAGAAACCGCGTTATAGTGGTGCGCATTCCGCGTTTTAACGGGCGCGTTCCCCTTTTTAACGGTGCAACGTTACGCAAAAAAGTCTTCCCTGATGGAATAACTTGCATTTAAAGCAAAAACGCGTTAGTGTGAACACAGCGCATTAACGCGATGACTTTGCCGCGGTGGGTCTTAACCGCGCCTGGCGATATCATCCAGTCACCAGCAGAGGGCTCTGCTCTTGCTCCAGTCTGAAATGACTGCATTGACGCGGCCAGTGCCTGCTTATCAACGCAAGTTCGTAAGCCCTTCGGGGAACTGCAGTACCATGGTGTGAAATGACGCCGGGGAGGCTGAACGTTATTCCGAGAAAGTTTGCCGTTTGTGGAGAATACTAAAAGTAAAGACGAGGATTCGTTTGACCGAGTGAAATAAAACAAATTTAGCCCCACAATCTCATGAGCCTTTTGGACCAGTTTCTGCCAGCAGCAGCAGCATTAGTTGAAGCAGGCGGACTCTGGATTTTGCCTTGACTTGCGCAGTCTTTTCAGCGCAGTTCTGTAATTGCAGATGTATATTTCACAGACTCTGTGTGCATGTATATTAAATTTATTTGTCACCGTACATAGCCAAACGTTCTAATCGGAGGTGGGTAATCACTGGGGTTAGGTGCAATGCAAAAATACGTCATGGGGCTCTTACGGCGTGGCCGGGAAGACCCAGGCATTCGCGTCTGCCGTGCCGGTGGCAGTGATCCACAGGCCTAAGACCCAACACGTCAATAAACTGGCAACGGACGGCACTATCGGAGTTGCGATAGAGTTAACACTTGTCTGGATTTGAGCAGGAGCTTGAGAAAGAGACGATTGTAGGGAATTCCAAAGTCGAGCAGTAGCGAGGAGAGAAACATACGTTTTGTGAGTTTACCACGTAGGCTTTCGCGACCAACATCGCAATTTCGATTTGAAGCTTTCGTGACTGCAAGGATTCATCTTCTTTGGTTCTTTCGGTAAAGTCACCACCACGTAGAATGAGAATAAAATAATAAAATAACGCAATTCATTGAAGCTCTGTCGTCCCGACAGTTCTGTACCTTTCACCTGAAGATGGCCGCTCGCGTTGTGGCCAAAACGTCGTGAGAATTTTATCATGTTATTTTATTATTTTATTCTCATTCTACGTGGTGGTGACTTTACCGAAAGAACCAAAGAAGACAATATCGCAATCTCACCCAAAAAATCTATATTGTGGAGAAGTTTTGTGACCTGCATCGTGGTGGTTGAACACAGTATGGGTGACACAAACCCGCCTGGTAGACCGAGCCCTCGGCGTGGGCGGGTGAATCAATGAGCGAAGTTCTGCGGCAGTGACAAGGAGGCGTCTGTGGAACACCGGTGAGCAAGTGGCGAGGGTGAATTCGCGGGGGTCTGAATCGTTGACAAACCCGACCGCTTTGCGTTCAACCCTGCCGGTGCGTGTCTCTGCGGTGCCGTCGGGGCTCAGATGAGGACAAGCGCGGAGAGCTGGAGGAGTTCCAGGACTGCCTGGCGAAGTTCACGCGCTACAGCTCCGTACGCCCGCTCGCCACGCTCTCCTACACCAGCGACATCTACAATGGCTCCAGCATCGTGTCCAGGTGACCCGTCTCCTCGTGTCCCCCGTTTCATTTTGATCATGAGGAGGGGAAGAATTAATAAATTTTATAAAGTCTCCCCGCGTCCGTTTACCCTCGGAGAGAGAGAATAATTCGGAGGTGTGTGGGAAACCACAGAGAAGCAGGGAAGGCGGCCTGAATGCACGGCAACAATTGCCCCCAAGCGTTGTGGTCCTATATTTGGATCATCTCCATGAATGTGGTTCGTAATGATGTCCCTCTGTCTCTTCCACCCCCCCCCCGACCGATGTTTTTCTTCTCTATATTCAGGAATATCTTAACCTTGTAATCGGATAATAATAGTGGTTTTTCCCCTTTTTTCTGGCAACAAAACTGAAACCTTTTTTACAAGGATTCATGTCTACTGCATTAACCACAATACCTGCAGTCAAAATGCAAACAAAAAACATACTATGATAATATATGTGTCATTGTCCTTGAAACTGATTGGTCCACACCAAGGGACGGCTTTCTTTTGAGCCTCGACCCAATTAGTGCTCGACCAGATGACGCCAAAAGGCGTCACACAGCTCAAAGACAATGCCACTATCAAAGTAATGAGGGCTCGGGGTGAGCATCTACATCATAATCGGATGTTCAGGACTCTGAAGAGTGCCATTTTGCAATTTGATGTGTAACAAACATATGAACCTGTAATTAGGGCAAATTAGTACGTGTGTGTAATGATTCACCGATTTAATGTTGATTCTTGAGCTCGCGATGCATTCATTGAACTGCTTGCGTAGGAGCCAGTGGGTTTAGATGTGTGCGCCTTGTATGTAATACCGACCCCAGCCACTAGTAGCCGTTGCATTTGTCACATCGTGGAAAAAAAAAGCTGCTTTTGAATGGCAATGATTGGGATTATTAATCAAATCTGTATGGGGGCAGGAGGGATTAACCATTACACCCCCCCTGATATTCAAAGTTTGTCGAGAAATATTAACAACATAAATTTGTCATTAGTACGTAAATTGATGACATTCAGTGACACCGTGTAACGTCTTGGTAAATGCTGCATTGATTGCCCTTGAAATCGTCTCTGATGTCTGGAAAGACATTGGTTCAAATAACTTAATTTAGTTTCTCTCAAACTGGCCTTTGAAGGGCAACTTTTATAGACTCGGTTGTAAGTGACGTAGCAATTCAGTTGTTTTGTCTGAGTTGGTGAATTGATGCTGCCACCCGCCGGCTTTGTAGTAGTCGCGGACGCGCACAGACAGAGGGGGGAGTTTTATTTTTATTTTCCAAAGAGTTAATTTAACTCAACTCGGGCCGCGCGCTTTGTTCCACGGTCGTGCCGCAAAAGCTGCGTTGACAAAGCGAGGCTAAGTGCGAGTTTGGGATGAAGCCTAATGCGCAAGACCTGGGCTACACAAGCACCATTGAGAGACGCTTGGACGCCTAATTCGGAAGCCCGAGAGTGACGTGAAGGGACACAATGGCTGGTCCCCAAGTGGCACCTGATAGCGGCGACGCGGCTTCGTGTTTGCCACGCTGCGTCATTGGCCGTGGGGTCTGGTTCGTGTTCAAGTCGGCGCGTTGACTCGTTCCCGACAGGGGAAATGTCAGAACTACTGTGGTTATGCTTCCCAGTTGTCTCTGGAAAGCTCTGCAGTGCAAAGAGGGAAACAAAATTACTTCTTGTAAATATGCGAATGCATTGTTGCATACCGCTAATTGTACGTATGTAATTTTGTGTGACTTCTTTTGCACCGTACGTAGAGAACCGTGATTGAAGTAATAGGTTTTACCCTTTTAACTGGCACAAAAACTGACACCTTTATTCAAGGCATCGTGTTTGCAATAACCACAACACAAGCAGTCAAAATCCAAACAAAAGAGACAACTCTGATAATAATATTGGCACTGTCCTTGAATTTGATTGGTCCACACCCGAGACGGCTTTTCTTAGAGCCCTTAGTCTCCACTGGTGTTGGACCAGAAGACGCCAAAAGGTGTACAACTCAAAAACAGCGCACTATCAGAGTATTGAGGGCTCGGGGTGAGCAATTACATTATGAGACCTCCTTTGCCAGTAACAAGATATAGGAATAGGTTTTACCCTTTTAACTGGCACAAAAACTGACACCTTTATTCAAGGCATCGTGTTTGCAATAACCACAACACAAGCAGTCAAAATGCAAACAAAAAAGACAACTCTGATAATAATAATAATATTGGCACTGTCCTTGAATTTGATTGGTCCACACCCGAGACGGCTTTTCTTAGAGCCTAGTCTCCACTGGTATTGGACCAGAAGACGCCAAAAGGCGTACTGAGACCTGCTAATCGAAGGTGAGCACATTTTACCTCCGAAGGCAAAAACGTGCTTCGGTTGGCGTTGCATAATCCGCGTGCGTGCACGATTTTTTTTACCCCATAACTGTTTAAGTATTAATAATAATAATGACGATGCCTTTTAATTCGACAGCATCGACTTCGATCGGGACTGCGATTACTTCGCCGTCGCCGGAGTGACCAAGAAGATCAAGGTGTTTGAGTACGGCACGCTGATCCGAGATGCGGTGGACATTCACTACCCCGTGATCGAGATGACCTGCGACTCCAAGATCAGGTGCGCTTCCACCACTCCGCAATCCACTGCCAAGTCCACCCACGCTGCCTACGCCTTTGCACCGGTCCGCAGGGGCCACTACTCCCTGCTCACGGTCGTCGTTGTCACCAGGGTAGTCCTCGTATGAGCAAAGCGTGCCGACGTAACGCAGTGGTGAGGGGGGAGAGTGGAGGCAACCTTTCCATTGCAAGCATACTGCTTCGGATGTTATAATAGTTTACATTTATACGTAAGGTGCCTTCCGCTAATGTCTCAGGGCACCTAAGCGCACACGGCCTTACCCCGGAGGGGTGTGCTTGTATGCAGATTAAACTGCTTCTGAAACGGTCCTGGCAAAAAGGCGCCCCGTCAACCCGCATTGACCGGCGTGGGGGAGGACTGGCAAGAGCAGCTGTATCAACCGATGTACATTTGTGAAAAAATAAACTTTATTATTAATTTATTTCCTTATATATTTTTTATTATCAAACATTGCTTCCCTGCCCGGTGCTGCTGCAGCTGCATCAGCTGGAGCAAGTACCACAAGGGCATCCTGGCCAGCAGTGACTACGAGGGCAGCGTGATCCTCTGGGATGGCTTCACGGGACAGAGGACAAAGGTTTTCCAGGTGTGGAGCGTCGTTCTCTTAAGCATTGTTCTGGTGTCGCCGAGATCCTGGGCGGTTGAAATCCAGGTTTTAACCACCCGTTGATAGTCTCAGCCTGGTCACCAGTGACTGTACGCACAAAAAAAAGCAGTCACGTTAAAGTCGGTCCTGAAACTAATTTTTGCTAAATTCCAGCCCTTAAGAAGTCAACGTCGGTTTGGCTCGCCGCGCGTCGAACATTACTCTCTCGATAGCAGAGCGGGATAGGGAAGTGTTGCCCCTTTTCTCTTTGTGTGGATTAGAGGTCACCTTTAAGGGATCCCAGAGGTGGCTCTGTAACATCCGCTTCCCTGGGCCGTTGCTGAACACGTAGGGTTGCGTCATTGCTCTGGGACGGATGTGATTGGACGCCTTGCCTCGTGACGTGATGCCATCATGATAAGAAGAAACATTTCCACGAAAAAAAAATATTGGTGGGGAAATTAAAAAAAATCGTGCGATGCCTTTTGCGAGACACCCAAGACAAACATACTCTTTGGTTCTATTCGGTAAAGTCACCACGTAGGTAAAAAAATAAAACGACAAAAATCACGACGTTTCGGCGAACAACACAAGCGGCCTTCATCAGGTGAAGGGACCGGGCTGTCTCGAGGACAGTGCTGGAGTGAAACACAGCCATGCTCAGACCGCGACCTTTAAGCTGTGTGCGAGGAAACAAGGCGCCTTGACAAAGGAATTAGCATAAAAAATTAGTATTTGATAGGCCGACTTAGCATAGAGGTGGTGTACGTGCGGGTGAACATGCCGGTTGGCGCGGGAGGGGGGTGGAGGGGGAGTTTACCTATTGATGGTGTGAAAAGGGAATTTAAGAGCTGCGAAAGTTTGGGGTACCACTACTTGAAAAATATACTGTAGCTTGAAAATTAGTTTAATGTTTGGTTCAATTTAGAACATCTTTCCAATGGTTGCTTAATTTGAAACCATCTTCTCGGTTGAATTTGTCATTAATTTCAATGTTCCGGGAAGGTAATCTATCGGTCAGTGCCCTTGCCACTGGTTCACTTTGCACAGAGTTTGTTTCAAGTCTCGCAGTTTGTAATGTTTATGGTATTAGTAATAGTCATACCGTTATTTGTTATCCAGGAAAAAACCTCACTTCTGCATTGAGATATTTTCATTATCTTTTTAAGGAGTGCTGAGCATGTGGAAGGAAACTTGAATGCCCAGAAAAGATAAAGCAGGGGATATCAATTGGAAGGTTTGGATGAATGGATTAATGACCTGAGTTCGATTCCCCAGCTCTGGCCATCATCGGTGATACATCTGAACCGGTTCTGGGTCAGCTTTTAATGAGTTTAAACATGAGTACCAGAGAGACAAAGGTGGCTGCGCGTGCTGCTAGCCACACCACGCCCTCGTGCACCGTTCCGGCCTTCGTAGATGCTCTCACATGGCGCTTGTCCCAACAGTCTGTGTGCCTTTGGAAGGGTGGGGGGGGGTGGGCGGGGCGGAAACTTTGTCTTTGTCCACATGCGGTGTTGATGTGCTCAGCAGTGCGATGATCGCATGGTGAAATTGTATTCTTTCGGAATGTCCGCTCCCTTAGGAACACGAGCAGCGATGTTGGAGCGTGGACTTCAACCTGATGGACCCCGAGATCCTAGCGTCTGGATCCGATGACACCAAAGGTAAAATGGCAAGGCCGCACTCTGTCGGCGTGACATCATCAGGGATTTAATTTTCGATTGAAGCTTTCGTACTGCAAGGATGAATCTTTTTTGGTTCTTTCGGTAAAGTCACCACGTAGAATGAGAATAAAATAATAAATTAATTAAGTAAAATAACACAATAAAATATCTCACGACGTTTCGGCCACAACACAAGCGGCCTTCTTCAGGTGAAAGGAACAGGCCTGTCGGGACGACAGAGCTGCAATGAACGCTGTTAAGATTCGTAGCGTCTTTTTAAGCTGGTTCAGAGAATTGAGGCACCTTGACAAAGGGGTTTACATATCAAACAGGAGAATTTAGCATTGAAATAGCTGAGTGATTAGCTTTGTGACTGGTCATTGAAATAGCTATGTCAAAGTCAAAGCCTACACATCCACAGAGGCACCTAGTACAAATCAAACAGGAGAATTTAGCATTGAAATAGCTGAGTGATTAGCTTGTGACTGGTCATAGAAATAGCTATGTTAAAGTCAAAGCTTACACATCCACAGAGGCACCTAGTACATATCAAACAGGAGAATTTAGCATTGGAATAGCTGAGTGATTAGCTTTGTGACTGGTCATAGAAATAGCTATGTTAAAGTCAAAGCCTACACATACACAGAGGCACCTAGTACAAATCAAACAGGAGAATTTAGCATTGAAATAGCTGAGTGATTAGCTTGTGACTGGTCATAGAAATAGCTATGTTAAAGTCAAAGCTTACACATCCACAGAGGCACCTAGTACATATCAAACAGGAGAATTTAGCATTGGAATAGCTGAGTGATTAGCTTTGTGACTGGTCATAGAAATAGCTATGTTAAAGTCAAAGCCTACACATCCACAGAGGCACCTAGTACAAATCAAACAGGAGAATTTAGCATTGAAATAGCTGAGTGATTAGCTTGTGACTGGTCATAGAAATAGCTATGTTAAAGTCAAAGCTTACACATCCACAGAGGCACCTAGTACATATCAAACAGGAGAATTTAGCATTGGAATAGCTGAGTGATTAGCTTTGTGACTGGTCATAGAAATAGCTATGTTAAAGTCAAAGCCTACACATCCACAGAGGCACCTAGTACAAATCAAACAGGAGAATTTAGCATTGAAATAGCTGAGTGATTAGCTTGTGACTGGTCATAGAAATAGCTATGTTAAAGTCAAAGCTTACACATCCACAGAGGCACCTAGTACATATCAAACAGGAGAATTTAGCATTGGAATAGCTGAGTGATTAGCTTGTGACTGGTCATAGAAATAGCTATGTTAAAGTCAAAGCCTACACATCCACAGAGGCACCTAGTACAACTCAAACAGGAGAATTTAGCATTGAAATAGCTGAGTGATTAGCTTGTGACTGGTCATAGAAATAGCTATGTTAAAGTCAAAGCTTACACATCCACAGAGGCACCTAGTACATATCAAACAGGAGAATTTAGCATTGAAATAGCTAAGTGATTAGCTTGTGACTGGTCATAGAAATAGCTATGTTAAAGTCAAAGCTTACACATCCACAGAGGCACCTAGTACAAATCAAACAGGAGAATGTAGCATTGAAATAACTGAGGGATTAGCTTGTGACTGGTCATAGAAATAGCTATGTTAAAGTCAAAGCTTACACATCCACAGAGGCACCTACTACAAATCAAACAGGAGAATTTATCATTGAAATAGCTGAGTGATTAGCTTGTGACTGGTCATAGAAATAGCTATGTTAAAGTCAAAGCTTACACATCCACAGAGGCACCTACTACAAATCAAACAGGAGAATTTATCATTGAAATAGCTGAGTGATTAGCTTGTGACTGGTCATAGAAATAGCTATGTTAAAGTCAAAGCTTACACATGCACAGAGGCACCTAGTACAAATCAAACAGGAGAATTTAGCATTGAAATAGCTGAGCGATTAGCTTGTGACTGGTAATAGAAATAGCTATGTTAAAGTCAAAGCTTACACATGCACAGAGGCACCTAGTACAAATCAAACAGGAGAATTTAGCATTGAAATAGCTGAGTGATTAGCTTGTGACTGGTCATAGAAATAGCTATGTTAAAGTCAAAGCTTACACATGCACAGAGGCACCTAGTACAAATCAAACAGGAGAATTTAGCATTGAAATAGCTGAGTGATTAGCTTGTGACTGGTAATAGAAATAGCTATGTTAAAGTCAAAGCTTACACATCCACAGAGGCACCTAGTATAAATCAAACAGGAGAATTTAGCATTGAAATAACTGAGGGATTAGCTTGTGACTGGTCATAGAAATAGCTATGTTAAAGTCAAAGCTTACACATCCACAGAGGCACCTAGTACAAATCAAACAGGATAATTTATCATTGAAATAGCTGAGTGATTAGTTTTTTGACTGGTCATAGAAATAGCTATGTTAAAGTCAAAGCTTACACATCCACAGAGGCACCTAGTACAAATCAAACAGGAGAATTTAGCATTGGAACAGCTGAGTGATTAGCTTTGTGACTGGTCATAGAAATAGCTATGTTAAAGTCAAAGCCTACACATCCACAGAGGCACCTCGTACAAATCAAACAGGAGAATTTAGCATTGAAATAGCTGAGTGATTAGCTTTGTGACTGGTCATAGAAATAGCTATTTTAAAGTCAAAGCTTACACATCCACAGAGGCACCTAGTACAAATCAAAGAGGAGAATTTAGCATTGAAATAGCTGAGTGATTAGCTTGTGACTGGTCATATAAATAGCTGTGTTAAAGTCAAAGCTTACACATCCACAGAGGCACCTAGTACAAATTAAACAGGAGAATTTAGCTTCGAAATAACTGAGGGATTAGCTTGTGACTGGTCACTGAAACAGCTATGTTAAAGTCAAAGCTTACACATCCACAGAGGCACCAGGGATGACCAGCGTTCCTTCTGGGCCCAAGGGCTCTTTAAAAGTGATTATTTTTCTCACTTTGGTTTCCAGCTGTTCGGGCGGACTCGTTCCTTTTGAAGTCGGTTCCACAGTTTTGGGGTTCCTTCCCTACCCCCTATGGCTAGGCTGCTTAGCTTTTAAATTCCGCAAACCTGGACGATAATTGAGCCGGAGAGAGTTGCGGGCATCTGGAAGCTTCTTATCTCTTGCCTCAGCCTCTCTTTTCTTCCTGGCAAACTGCGTTTTATGTCGTGGTTGTGGTGGTGGTGGCGGCGATAGGGGTGTGAAATGTCATGCCCCTAAATTGACCCCCCCACTTTCCCCAGGGTCTCGCAATTCGATTTGCGTCCCGTCAGTCGCACTCCGCGCCAACTTCCCCGCCACCCCTCGGTGCTTCGTCGCTGCCGGCCCGTAACTTCCTGCTCAGCGACGAAGGGCTCCATTGCCGCTCTCTCTCAGCTGCTCCTCCTCATCTCCATCTCGCCGGCGCCGTCTCTTCCTTCCGCTGCCTTCCTCCGCTCCTTTCACGCTCCTCCGTCGTCAACCCCGCGGTCGGTTTTTGCATGACGTGTGCCGCTCCCTTTCCCGCTCAATTCCTTTTTGCTTCAGCAGCAGCAGCACGTGACCCCCGTCTGTTCCTTATACAGTGGTCCCTCGTAAAAATAACCCGCAATAGACGAAATCCGCGAAGTAATCAGCTTTATTTTTTACAATTGTTATACATATTTTAAGGCCGCGAAACCCCTAACCACACACTTTTATACACTTTTCTCAGACAGGCATTAGCATTTTCTCACATTTCTCTCTTATTTAAACACTCTCAAAGTTCAAACTTTCGCAGATTTAAAAAAATAAGTGCAATATTAGTAAATGAAACCAAAGATCAAAACCTGTTTTCAAGCCCAAAACATTTTTGTGAATCTGGCTAGCCGAACGCATTCTGTACTCCCTTAGCTAATCAGGACGCAGAACACAATGCGCGTTCATACTGTACGCAGGAAAAGAAAGCGTGCAAAATTACACTAAACAAAAATCCGCGAAACAGCGAGGCCACGCAAGGTGAACTGCGTTATAGTGAGGGACAACTGTACCTCCATCCCTTAACCTAAACCCATCCCCCCCCGCCCCCCGCCCAGTCAAGCTGTGGTCCACGCACATGGACGCTTCCGTCGCGTGCATCGAAGCGAACACCAACGTCTGCTGCGTCAAGTTCAGCCCCACGTCACGCTACCACCTAGCGTTGGCTTGCGCAGGTGGGCGCTCGAGTCCGCACCGCGCGTTTTACCTCGCTCGCCTGATGATCGCGCGCTCGTTTTGGGGGGAGAGGGGATTTGGCGAGCGGCGGGTACGGTGGGGGTACGGTGGGGGGTTACGGTGTGGGGGTACGGTGTGGGGGTATATTGGTGGGTACGGTGTGGGGTTACAGTGTGGGGGTACGGTGTGGGGGTACGGTGTGGGGGTATATTGGTGGGTACGGTGTGGGGGTACGGTGTGGGGGTATATTGGTGGGTACGGTGTGGGGTTACAGTGTGGGGGTACGGTGTGGGGGTACGGTGTGGGGGTATATTGGTGGGTACGGTGTGGGGTTACGGTGTGGGGGTACGGTGTGGGGGTATATTGGTGGGTACGGTGTGGGGTTACGGTGTGGGGGTACGGTGTGCAGGTATATTGGTGGGTACGGTGTGGGGTTACGGTGTGGGGGTACGGCTTGCGGGCCGTGGCGTTTCTGTGCCCGGTGTTGCTCAGTGCCGCCCCCCCAACAGCAACCGTTGGAAGATCTCTGCGCAAAAATGCACGCGTGTTAAGAATCTATTTACAATCCATGCACGCTGGGTCCTCTCGAACCATTGGGCTAATTGATTTAACGATGTGGAACAAGACGGAACATACGAGATAGACGATGCAAATAAGAAAGAAGGGAAAACATTTTTAAATCAAATCGTTGTCCCGAATAGTCTCTGTTCGTTGAATTGTTGCGGCGGGGACGAGGAATGGCGGTGAATCGTTGTGTGACGAGTACTCGCTGCGGTTAAAAATTCATCGCCGTAGAGGTTATGCAGACAGATCTCGATGTGCACGGCTACACGCTTCAATTAAATGGGGAACGTAGCAGCGGCGGCGGCGGCGGTTGTGTTTTACAACAAGGTGGGCATTGTGAATCATCGGTGGAAGCATTATTTTTTGTTCGTATTCTCCTGTGGACAGGCTATTAACGCGTTACTCACTGAAGAGTGCCGAGCTGTCCTCGCTACCCTCCGTGACATTGCCGCGGGCGTAGTAAGCTTTTATACCCTCCCTTACATTTAATTGGCGAAAAATAAGACTTTGTGAATAAAGAACTAAGACTGTGAGAATGATAAGCAAATGACGGTAATGGACCTCCTTTTGGGGGCATTATTCCACTTCCTTTCCGGCTAACGTTTCACAAGAGCCCTCGTTGGGTGTGATTTTTCCACCGCACGGTTGATTGGGCCAGCTTAATCTGAGCCGGGCGATTCGTCCGCCGTCTTTGAAAGGCGCGGGGAGAGGCGGGGGGCACGGGACTCGCGCGAGCGTGAAGTGACCCCTTCCGATTGTGCTCGGCAGACCACTGCGTCCACTATTACGACCTGCGCAACACCGAGCTGCCCGTCACGGTGTTCAAGGGCCACCGGAGAGCCGTCTCGTACGCCAAGTTCGTGAGCGGCGAGGAGATCGTCTCTGCGTGAGTAGTGCCCATTGAAAGGCGCGGCCGTTTAAAGTGGCAGGGGGCCAGATCAACTCGGAATGCCCACCCAATCACGCGCGGCTCGCCAGTTATGAAAGTTGTGCTTGAATTAAAAGTTATTTTTTTATTTAGAGCTTTCGTGACTGCAGCAATTCATATTCTTAGCTCTTTCGGTAAAGTCACCACGTTGAAGGGAAACAATAAAATAATAAAATATATATAAAACAATAAAAATTCTCACGACGTTTCGACCATAACACCATAACACACCTGATGATGACCGTTTGTGTTATGGTCGAAACGTCGTGAGAGTTTTTATTGTTTTATATATATTTTATTATTTTATTGTTTACCTTCAACGTGACTTTACAGAAAGAGCTAAGCATATAAAAAGTTATTTATTTCTGTGAAAGAAAAAATCTAAAATGGTTCGCTAAGAATTTTCTTTTCTCAAAATGTATTTACCTGCGGAGTCAAGAAACCGCGAAAGGCCGTCGAATTGAGCTTGTGCCGTGCCTTTTGCTGCTGCTGCGTGCGCCCTTGCGAGACTGGCCCTGTTTAATCGCCGGTGCCCGCGTCCGCTTACAAAATCGAGGGCCTCATTCGCTCACGTTGTTTCGTTCGGGGGCAGCTCGATAGACGGCCAGCTGAAGCTGTGGAGCGTGAACAAGCCCCGCTGCACGCGCTCCTTCAGAGGCCACGTCAACGAAAGGACCTTTGGGGGGCTGGCCACCAACGGGGACTACGTCGCTTGCGGTGAGCGCAGCCTCCGCACGCTGACCCCCACCCCCCCACCCACCCAACCCTTGCCTGCCCCCCCCACACCCCCTGCTTATCGCGTGCACAGATACACACACACACACGCGCGCGCGATCATGTTTCAATCGTGACAATCCCCCGATTTACCTCTGTCTTTATTTTTATTTTTTGTTTTGTTTTTGGGCCGAGCGGTGGTGGCGCTTGCCGTGGGGTTTGTCGCCTTTGAAGCCGGGCGAGGGCCCCCCCTCCAGGGGGGCGACCCCCCTAGGGGGGGGGGGGGCCGTCGTGTCAACGGCGGCGTTTCCCGTGGTCAGCTTCGCGTGTTGGAGTCATCGTCGGGGAAAGCAGCGGTTGGGTCACTTTGCGCGCGGTCGAAATGTACCGAATTTTAAAAAAAATCGCCCACAAAATTGCCAATTTGAACGCTTGCGATGACGAACGGCCGCCTGCTGGAAAGCGTCGGCTAATTGATGCGCGCGGATGATTTCCCGGGACACGCGTTTGGCTCGCGTCTCGTCGGTTGCGCGTGGCGTGCGCGTGGTGGAGGCGGGCGGCGGCGGCGGCGGGGTGGATGATGGCATCGCTCGTTTTTGAACCGGTGATGCTTCGCCGGTCTCTCACGTGTCCCCCCCCCCCCCCCTTCTGACCGTGCCGCCGGTCGCTCCGCTCTCTCTCTCTCTCCGCCCTCTCCGTACGCAGGGAGTGAGGACAACTCGCTGTACGTCTACTACAAGGGCCTCTCCGAGGTGTCGCTCACGTTCAAGTTCGACGTGGCGACGGGTGCGCTGGGGAAGGAGAGTGAAGGGGACGGGAGAGAGTTTGTGAGCGCCGTGTGCTGGCGGCTGCTGCCGGACGGGGTGAGCGCACGCCCTGCAGCCTGGCCCGCGGGCCCGGGCCGGTCGCCCGCCGCCCTTCACGCTTGCTCACTCGCTCGCTCCCTCACACGCGGATGCTCGCCCGTCTGATTCGCTCGCTCCCTCGGAGTTACTCAGCCGCAAAATTCCCCTCGGCCCCCCCGGGGGTCACCCGCCCCCGCAAGACGTACGTACGTATGCACGCTGAGCTTCTTTTGTACCGTACGTGGCCAACCGTGCTAATTGAAGGTGCGGAATCCACTCGCCGAAGGTTACTCGCCCACAAAATCCACTCGACCAAAGAGGGCCTTTTTTTAAGAGCAAGCGTGGAACCCTCACGGCTTCCTATATTCAGATTCCTCAAGCAACCCGGTGTTGTCCCGGGCGCGTGCACAACGGCATCCACACTCTTTGGTTCTATTCGGTAAAGTCACCACGTAGGTAAAAAATCAAACAACAAAAATCACGACGTTTCGGCCACAACACAAGAATATGAATAAGGCCACTTGTGTTGTGGCCGAAACGTCGTGAGAATTTTATTGTGTTATTTTATTTTATTATTTTATTCTCATTGTACGTGGTGGTGACTTTAACCGAAAGAACCAAAGAAGATGAATCCTTGCAGTCACGAAAGCTTCAAATGGAAATTTAAGAATGTTTTTGTTTTGCTGTTGTTCTTTCATCGCCACCTCGGAGAAGGACGACGCTCACCTCAACGGTCGGGGAATATTTAGGAGGCGAATCTCGGTTCCGCCGAGGAGGACGGAGCGGGTGGTGGTAGCGGGGGTCCGGGGTGGACAGAAGACTTCTCGCGTCATTGAACGTTTAATGTGCCAAGGGCGGCGTTGAGCCACCTGCTGGTGTTGCGAGTCTCCATGCTGCCCGCTGCGTATTGTTGGCTTGCTTCCCGGCACGATTTCGGTGCCTGACGCGTCTGTCCCCGTGGGGTTAAGATTCAACGGCGGTTTACGTTGCTACTGCTGCCGCTGCTGCTGCTCTGCGCTGTAAATGAGCGGCTCACCGGTTACGTTGGATCTCCCGGCGTGACAGCTTGAAATGACGTGGCAGCAGCTATCTGGAATTTCAACCACCGCCTCCTCTGTCCACGCACACGACGGCGCGAATGGCTGCGCCGCGGTCGATGTACGATCGGCACGGTGGGCGTGGTGGGGGAAAGTGTGTCGGTGTTCCCAGCTCTTCGAAAGACATCTGGCCAGTGTGGAGGAGTAGGCCCAAATATTGCATCCTCTAGAGGGGACTGCCCGCACATTGCTAGTTGCGGCCCCTTGTCAGCAGTGGCATGGCTGGCTACGTGCGGAGCGAAATAAGTTAAACGTGCACACGCGTGCTAGCAATTGCGAAACTGCACCTTCACCTTTATACGTTATTCGTACGGAAAATAAAAAAGGTATACCGTTGGTTTGCATCGCTGTCGTGTGGCAGGATCAGTGTGGAAAAGTTCGAATTCGTGACGTTGCTATCGCTTTGCTTAAAGTGATTCTCGCCCTTGCAGGACTCCAATGTACTTGTAGCAGCCAACAATCAAGGAACCATCAAGGTAAGGGTACCGTGGCACTGACTGCAATTGCTTTTTTGAAGGGAAGGCGATGCGCCATGCACTATCTGTAAGATTGGTTGTGTTGGCGTGGTAGAATCGTTACTCGGTATAACCTTCGTGGGGAACTTTGTTCATTGCCTGTTGCTGATGATGAGATGTGCAGTGACCCGCTGATTTTATTTTGTTTGCTCAATTGCGATCGCTCGTCCAGGTGTGTGTGTGTATGGTGGGGGAATGTTGGTGCGGTGATGTGTGCATTGTCCTGTGAGCCCATTGAGAGAGGTTCACTTCCCTGCCACGGCTCACGTCACAGACGAGACGATGTATCAAACGTTAGCGGGCATCCTTCTAGGTCAAGCTACGCCTTAAATAAGTATGTCGTGTGGTGCGTGAACACCAGCATCGGGGAGACGAAATCATTCCGATCTTCGTAGTGGTCATATCTGCCTTTGATTTTTTGTCTTGTTGGCTTTAATCGGTGCTTATTCTTAGCTCTTTCGGTAAAGTCACCTTCAACGTGACTTTACCGAAAGAGCTAAGAATATGAATTACTGCAGTCACGAAAGCTTTAAATCAAAATTTAATAGGTGCTTGTTAACACTTGCTGCTACAATAACTAAAGGGTGGGATTTTCTTGTGTGTGTAAGTGTGGTTACTTGGGTAGCGGTGGTGTAGCTGTGCTCTGAATAACCGCAGGAGCCCCGGTTCGATTTCCGGCCACGGCCAACATCGGGGACGAGTGATATTGAACCGATTCAAGGAACCTCCCCTTGAGCTCGCCCGAGCTGAAATCACTGACTGCTGCGGTGTGTAAAACATCGGCACTGGGGAAGACAAAAGCAGGCCAGGGGTGTACCCCGGGGCCACATCGCCACCACCGCCACGGTGTGGCGGTCTCAATAGGCGCTCGCCAGTCGCGCTTCGCTTGTCCGTTGCTTGTACCCATCATCATCGTCATCATCGTCGTCATCGCCGTCTTTCACCACCAACCTCACTCTCTTTGTCCTCAGGTGCTGGAGCTGGTGTGAGGGGCCGCCCGCTGCAACGGCACTTTGCGCGGGGACCGGCCCGCGGTACCGTACGACGCACAACCCCGCCGTGGTTCTTTGGTTCTTTTGGTAAAGTCACCACCACGTAGAATGAGAATAAAATAATAAAATAAAATAACACAATAAAATTCTCACGACGTTTCGGCCACAACACAAGTGGCCTTCTTCAGGTGAAAGGAACAGACCTGTCGGGACGACACATTCATTGAAGCTCTGTCGTCCCGACAGGTTTGTTCCTTTCACCTGAAGAAGGCCGCTTGTGTTGTGGCCGAAACGTCGTGAGAATTTTATTGTGTTATTTTATTTGATCAATTTATTATTTTATTCTCATTCTACGTGGTGGTGACTTTACCGAAAGAACCAAGGAAGATGAATCCTTGCAGTCACGAAAGCTTCAAATTGAAACCCCTCCGCGGTCAGGCGGTGGGCACCGCCCACCCCCCGACCGCTCGACCACCGGCACAAACCAAGCCCCCCCCCCCGCCCCACCGCATCACACGAAGACGTTTCCGCGAAACACAGCGGGATCTCGCCCTAGACATTGGGACGTCGGTTTCTTTCCGTGTCGTGTCTACGCAGCTGACGTCTACAATGCGGTCAAGATGGACATTTTTATTGTAAACCACGGGTAAGCGGAAACGCAGAGGGCAGCGATGGACCGAGCGCTTTACGACGCAGCGAGCCCTCCGGACGGGCGCATGCCCCACAGAATCAGATTCCGATTTAAAGCTTTCGTGACTGCAAGGATTCATCTTCTTTGGTTCTCTCGGTAAAGTCACCACCACGTAGAATGAGAATAAAATAATAAATTGATAAAATAAAATAACACGATAAAATTCTCACGACGTTTCGGCCACAACACAAGCGGCCTTCATCAGGTGAAGGGACGAGACTGTCTGGAGGATAGCGCTGGAGCGAACATAGCCACGCTCACCTGATGAAGGCCGCTTGTGTTGTGGCCGAAACGTCGTGAGAATTTTATTGTGTTATTTTATTTGATAAATTCTATTATTTTATTCTCATTCTACGTGGTGGTGACTTTAACCGAAATAACCAAAGAAGAGAATCAGATTCGTTCATCAGGATGATTATTTATACACGGGAGGAATCCAATCGTTAATTTTTTTGTTTTATATATATTTACAATTGTTAACAAATACGTAGAGTTTGATGAGACAAGTTGCCACTTACACGTGCCCGCGGCTTAATTTGTGTTTTCGATTCTATTTTGCCTTCTGAAAAAGAAATCTGCCCAACGAACCCCCCCAACAGGGAGTCCGTGCACCCCGGGTTAGGAGGCACTGCTGTGCACTGTAATTCCTGGTTTTACTCTATCATTCCGTACGATTGGCGCTGTGTCCGCATAAGTACATTAGACACACGCACGCACACACACCAATACGTGCGCTGTTTGAAATTGAAAATGTAATCGAGGCTTAAAGGTCCCTTCACCTGATGAAGGCTGCTTGTGGTGTTGTGGCCGAAACGTCGTGATTTTTGTTGTTTTATTTTTTGACCTACGTAACTTTACCGAATAGAACCAAAGAGTATGGATCCTTGCAGTCACGAAAGCTTCAAATCTAGAATTCCTTGACCCGTATCGGTCAAAAATAACTTCCGTCACTGAAATACGACGCGACTCAAGATGCGTTAAACACGCCTTCCCCAAACTTCGCAATGTTTTCAAAATCAAATAGTTTGGTGGTGGTGCTGGTGCTGGTGGAGGAGCCCACGTTGGCCTTTGGGCGCGTGCGCTTTCTCGGAGGCGCGTATTGAAGCAGACTCCTCGCAACAAAGTGAACTTGGTTCTGTCTCTCACTGTTCAAATAAACCTACCATTAAAATTATAGACTGATCATTTCTTTGTCAGTGGGCAAACCTACAAAATCAGCAGGGCATCAAATACTTTTTTCCTCACTGTATACACACACACATATACACACACATATATACACGGCTGGTTGGGTGGGTGAGTGGGGTGTTTGTTTTTGGCATCATCCGAGCAAGTGCTTTGGCGCGCGGCAGTCACACACACAAAAGACAAAAGATCCCCCGTGTAGCCTTAACAGACTGTAGGGGCAAGTGCTGTTAGCGAGCAGCACCAATGAAGACCGGCACGGCACACGAAGGGGTGGGTGGCCAGCACCACGCCCGACCGCCTTTGTCTTTCTCTCCGGGCGGCGCACGATTCTGCTCGCAGCTCCTCACTCACTCTCAGAACTCATCAATTGTATTCGCGCGGCTCTTAGCTTCTCGCAACTCTTATCGCTCATCGAAATCCTTGACTCTGCAAAGCGACTCAAAATATCAGGGTAAATGTAGAATGAAACTTTCAGCGACGCTGTCGGTCAGCACCTAGCAACACATCACCCCTCTCCTCTGCAAGACTAAGTTGCATGATCCTTTGTCCTTGCTTATATGTGAAACGACTTCGTGATATATAAAAAAATCACGACTTCGTGATATTTTAAATATTTTTTTATTCACAGTCTGTTCAAGGCTACACGGGGGATCTTTGTCTTTGTGTTGGGTGCTAACAGCACTTGCCCCAACATTCTGTTCAAGGCTACACGGGAGATCTTTGTCTTTGTGTTAGGTGCTCGCTAACAGCACTTGCCCCAACAGTCTGTGTGTGTGTACACTGTGTGTGTGTACACTCTGTGTGTGTACACTGTGTGTGTGTGTATACTGTGTGTGTGTCCACTCTGTGTACACTGTGTGTGTATACACTGTGTCTGTGTGTACACTGTGTGTGTGTACACTGTGTGTGTGTCCACTCTGTGTGTGTCCACTCTGTGTGTGTGTACACTGTGTGTGTGTGTACACTGTGTGTGTACACTGTGTGTGTGTACACTCTGTGTGTGTGTCCACTCTGTGTGTGTGTGTGTACACTGTGTGTACACTGTGTGTGTGTACACTGTGTGTGTGTACACTGTGTGTGTGTACACTGTGTGTGTGTACACTGTGTGTGTGTAGTGGGGGGCACAGGTGGTGCATTGGCCAGTCATCTCAGTCAGTCGACCCATGGCATCTTTTCATCAATTTATTATTTTCAATTTATTATTTTTACTTGTTACGAATTTTATTAAAATGTTAATTTATTATTTTTATCTTTAATTCTGTTTATTTTTTGTTTTCTACCTACGTGACTTTACCGAAAGAACCAGGAATATGGTAGCGCATTCTCAAATTTGTTGCAGAGGTTTAAGGTTCAAACCTGACAGGCACACCTGCCCACCCCAGTAACATTCACCACAATATGCGCAGTCTGCTTAACAGCGGATGTCAAACATAGTATTGTGTCACTCAAAACGCACAGGTCATATTGCGTGTTGGTGTCACGGTCAAAATTGTGGTAATTCCAGTAACATTATCCAGAATCTCCACAAGGGAGATGACGCGTCAATGATCGCCTCCTTACCGACAGACTCATGCCCACGTGCAGGCCGGTGTAGGGCCACCTTGTGCCACACAGGGGCAGCTGCCACTTAGGGGCACCCTTCGATTGTTTGAGATGAGATTCGATACGAAACACCGAGTAGGCAAGCGACTTATGAGTGCAAATATGTTGCTTATAACGTAGTGAATCCATAATAGAAGTTTTTGGGTTTCATCGCATAAATATATAAATGTTGTGTCGTTAAAACCCGCCACCACCCGACACAGCCAACTAGTAAGGGTTGTCACGTAAACAGAACGTGCCAATTCGTCACTAGCACAGCACGAGTGTATAGTGTAGTGTATAGTGTAGTGTATATAGTAGTGTATAGTGTAGTATATAGTAGTGTATAGTGTAGTGTATATAGTAGTGTACTAGCACAGCACTAGCGTGTAGTGTATAGTGTAGTGTATAGTAGTGTGTAGTGTAGTGTATAGTTTATGGTACTAGCACAGCACTAGTGTGTAGTGTATAGTGTAGTGTATAGTGTAGTGTACTAGCACAGCACTAGTGTGTAGTGTAGTGTATAGTGTAGTGTATAGTGTAGTGTACTAGCACAGCACTAGTGTGTAGTGTAGTGTATAGTGTAGTGTATAGTAGTGCATAGTGTAGTGTAGAGTAGTTTAGTGTATAGTGTAGTGTACTAGCATAGCACTAGTGTGTAGTGTAGTGTATAGTGTAGTGTTCTAGCACAGCACTAGTGTGTAGTGTAGTGTATAGTGCAGTGTATAGTATATTGTACTAGCACAGCACTAGTGTGCAGTGTAGTGTATTGTGTAGTGTATAGTGTAGTGTATAGTGTAGTGTACTAGCACAGCACTAGTGTGTAGTGTAGTGTATAGTGTAGTGTACTCGCACAGCACTAGTGTGTAGTGTAGTGTATTGTGTAGTGTATAGTGTAGTGTACTAGCACAGCACTAGTGTAGTGTATAGCGTAGTGTATAGGGTAGTGTAGAGTAGTGTAGTGTATAGTGTAGTGTACTAGCACAGCACTAGTGTGTAGTGTAGTGTATAGTGTAATGTATAGTTTAGTGTATAGTGTAGTGTACTAACACAGCACTAGTGTGTAGTGTATAGTGTAGTGTACTAGCACAGCACTAGTCTGTAGTGTAGAGTAGTGTAGTGTATAGTGCAGTGTATAGTGTAGTGTATAGTGTAGAGTATAGTGTAGTGTACTAGCACAGCATGTGTAGTGTAGAGTAGTGTATAGTATAGTGTACTAGCACAGCACGAGTGTGTAGTGTGGTGTATAGTGTAGTGTATAGTGTAGTGTATAGTAGTGTAGTGTATAATAGTGTATAGTGTAGGGTAGTGTAGTGTATAGTGCAGTGTACTAGCACAGCACTAGTGTGTAGTGTATAGTGTAGTATATAGTGTAGTGTACTAGCACAGCACTAGTGTAGTGTATAGTGTAGTGTAGAGTAGTTTAGTGTATAGTGTAGTGTACTACCACAGCACTAGTGTGTAGTGTAGTGTATAGTAGTTTATAGTGTAGTGTAATAGCACAGCACTAGTGTGTAGTGTAGTGTATAGTATAGTG